GAACTATGTTTGTCTTCCCATAGCTATATGCTCGAATCTAACCACAATATCAGTGGTGACTTGATTGCAGTGTGACACTTGATTGCACTCGTGTCTTGCATTCTTCTGGCATTTTCTGGCTGATTAACAGGTCTACTTTCCAACTGAAGGACAAGTATGTTATGAAGTACTGTAATTTCAGTTCAGATGCAGTTAGTATTGTCTTGTTTTCTTTTGGTGTAAACACTGAACCTCAAGCTAACTATCAAAGAAAACAGGTTTCTAGCTCAGTCAGAAATTTAATTCACGTATTTGGCACTAACAAATACCCTGCTGGTGAATTTTGTTTGTTACATCTTTAGCCACATGTTTCTTACGAGACATTTATATGGAGAGAGAAAATAAAAATTAAAAAAAAAAAAAAAGGCAGACCCCTCCCCCTTCTTTTTTTTTTTGGGGGGGGGGGGGAGGGGGGCAGGGTGAGAGGGGTAGTCTATAAGCAGTTGGGAGTTTTGTTTTTTAGAGTATATATTGTTGAGGAATAGTGTGCTTAAGGAAGTTCAAAAAGGATAATGGGAAAGTGTCATTTGGTCTAAAATTGTAATTGGTAAAGAATAAGACAGGAGAAGGTTTCTTGCAAATTACTTGGTATTGTTTGGTTCAGTTAGAATATCTGACTATGAAGAACTACTGTGACATTTCACATACTTTCAGTATTTGAAGAAACTTGTCAGTTGCTCTTTGAACCCTTCTTTATTAAAATCAGCTGGTTTAACTTAATATTCTTTACAAATTGCATTGATAACTTAATAAGGCAATAAAAATTGAAGGTAAATAGTCCTGAAGATTCAGAATCCCCTATGCCAAAAATTATGGAACGTATTTTGATTATGTGATTGTGGAAATGTTGGGCCGTACTGAGGAAAAATAATTAACAATGCCTATAATTGAATTAATTCGCTCTTATTTACATCTGCACTGATGTGGGTCCAACACCTTATTTTAAGTACATGTAGAAAGTTATTGATATCAATAGGACTCTTGAACTGCTTAATGTTAAGCATGTGCTAAGTCTTTGGTCAGTGGATGAAGGAGGTCTCCATCCTTTCTTGACATTCAGCGCACTGGCTTTTTGTGGACTTAGTGCACAAGGGCGAATTTCCATAAGTAGTTGTACTGATTTGAACTGAACTACTTGCATGTCTAAGGCAAGTATAATTTATCCACAGAGTTATTAATTGTTGTAGGGAATGGACTGAAAGAGGCAAGAGATTTTAATGGGGATGAAAAGGTGAAGATAAAGTTTATTTTTTAAAAAGTTGTTCTTTTTATAACTACTTTGAGCAAACTGTCCACTAAAAATCATGAACCACAATGACTAAGAGCACATTAAATATTTTTGCTTATATTTTTCAGTTAGTTAATGAAGACACCTTTTTTTAATAGGAGACTAGATTGAGCTCAAAAACTATTCTAAATGTAATTTTATCTGTTGGATATTAGTTTGCTTTATCTGGAAAAAAACCCTAACCTCTTCTGTGTTCAAAGATCACATCAGATAACAAGAAATAGATCTATGATTTATGCTGTTAACACTGAAATAGTTTTCTTGAGGTGCAATATTTATTTTTCTGCTTTAACAAGACACATTTATTGTTTTTCCTGCAGAGCACAGATGTTTTTAGAAAGAGGAATTTTAAAAGGGCACTATTTTTGTGTATCATATTTAAATTTGTAATATTGTAAGATTTTGCACAAGTGTGCTTGTATTGTACTGTATAGTATCACATACTTGAGTTTTGAAATAAAAGTATGGTTTCAAAGTCCTCAACGTTGCTACCTTAAAGGTTTGTTTTTTACATGCTCTCTGTCTGCATACTAATGGCTATGTTCTTATGAAATACATACTGCCTTGTCTATACTGGGTAATGGAGTGCCATGTTACACATACCAAAGATCTTGTTCTTAGTCTTTCAATTCTTCAGGAAAATGAAATAGAAGAAACAAGCAAACTCCTGTTTCAATATAGAAAGTGTGCGTAAGCAGGGTCATCCCTGTCATACCCTAGAAACAAGATGAGAGAGAAAACTGAAATATCCTGGAGAGAGTTTAACTCCTGCTTCAGAGGGAGGCTGCCTGTCACTGAGGAGGTTGAACACGGAAAGCCACAAGGGAGATCTGTAACCAAAGGAGGCTGAGTGAAAGGTTAGGATTCTTGATTTGCTTTTGTAGGCTTGGGAGGTCTGGGAAGCCTGGGCTTTGTGGAGAGCTGAACTGCCAGATCAGCGGGAAAGAGACAATGCTCAATTTCCACAAAGAACAGAAATGTCACTTCTGAATCTCTGATGATCTGTGTCAGGGAGAAAAACTTTGGGACAGAGACAACCTTGAAAGGAATGACTGTTACCAGGAAAAGACCCTGATATTTGTATTTTCCACATAACCTTTTTTTTAAACTTGTTTCCTCTCCTGTTGTTCACGCTTCAAGGTTCCTTTAGAAATGATTGTAGAGAACAGTTAAGTCTGTTCTCCCATATCAGAAGTTTTCAGTTTAGCAATCTTCATCAGCATTTTAAAACGTGCTGGCATGAGATGCTGGCAATTATCCCTATAGGCTACTATAAGTATTTAGGTCAAATGCTAATTAAACATTCCATATAAGGCTGCTTTTTTTTCACCACACAAGTTAAGATAAAGACCCACAAACGGGTTAAAAACCTTTTATACTGTTACAGTCCAGGTAAGTGATCTTCCACATAAGTTTTGGAACAGTTGAAATGTAAAAAGGAAGAAACGGACAAAAAAACAAAAAAGGTTATTTCAGTCTCACTTCATCATTCTAAAATTCTTTTCTCCCTCCCCTAATCTGTAGTTTGCTCTTACAAAACTATGTGAAGGAGTTTTTTTTGTTTGCTGTTACAAAGGTGTGTATCTCATTTTTCCAGCTAAAAATCCTACTAACCATCAATAGCACGGACAGAGTTTGACTAAAGGAACTTTGCCACAGTAAGGATTATAGGCACAAAGTGTTAAAACTTGGAAGGACAATTAGCATGCAATTTTAAAATGTCAGAAACCCAGCTTTTGATTAGTTTTCATGGTAGGAAATACTTAGCCGTTCAAGGTAAGCATGGAGGTGGTGAGATTTTGTTTAATGTTCTTGGTGTTTTACAGCCACAGTCTACTAGTCCATGAGAGCTACAGAGTAACTATTAGTTTCTGCTCCTACATTGTAAATGCAAGTGAATCCACTTAGAACTTGCTTCAGTGAGAGTAAGTCTGATGATTACAGTATTTCAGATTGCCATCACTTTGTAGAGGCAGGTAAGTACAACACAATAAAGGAGTGAATAGAAATTGGAGCAAGAAATTTGTCTTAAGATCTCAAGGAGCTTTACCAACATTCAGTTCCAAACCACAGCCCAAACACAACCCAATTTTCATTTCTTTATTGCTAATGGAGACATCATTTCATTAACCCACAGCATTCTCCACTCAGCCCTAGAGATGCTTGTCTATGTTATAGTATACCCATAACAATGTTATATGCTGCTGTAAGAGATTGGGCCTGTGCCCAGATAAAAGTGAATACTATCTTAATATATTAAGTGGGAACTTTCTACAATGCAAACCGCAGTTTGAAGAGGTAGCTACTGTTACACTTGTGTTTACAGGACCTTGAAAACAGCCTGGGGATGTAGAACATCTAAAAGTTTACTGAATCACAAACTGAACATGATGTAATAAAATCATCCAGTTGCAAAAAAAGGCTCGTACCATTCTGAACTGTATAAGCAGGTAAAGTAATATATTAATGAGTACTTGGCATTAGCAAGAGCTCAGCTAGAGAGAAAGTGTGAGCAAGCTGGGGTTTCTTAGCTGAAAGAAAAGTGGGAACAGAGGCATAACCCTTTAAATACATCAGATTGTTGCAAAACATAAGGGAATAAACTATTTTCCATGTCCATTTCCAACAGGAAAAGAAGTGACAGGTTTACAGCATGGTATGGGTAAGTCAGTTTAGACTAGGGAATACCTTTTAACAGTAAAGGACAGTGAAGCACTGGAATAGAGTAGAGCGTCTGTGGAAATGTTAGGAATTTGTCACTGGAAGTCTTTAAGAACAGGTTAGACAAACATCTGTCAGGAATAACATAAATACAGCTGATACTACTGACAGTAAAGGGAACTAGCTGATCTCTTGAACTCCATTC